CAATATCACCACTCTAACCTGAGAGTTCAAACACATACTTGAACCATGTCGATAGGTTGGTGGTGCTAACAAAGAATGACAAAGTTATTTTGTGTATTTGTATTTTATGTATTTGAGGATTGCACATGAATAACAAGTGTTTTTGGTTCTGCCGATGGACATGTGCCTGCATGTGCTTGAAGGATGTCAAAGTTAGTATGTGTTTTGAAGAGTTGTTACCTTTTGGTCATAAAAGTTGTCAATGAGTGTCGTGAAGCGTCTAGCCTGGTCTTTCATTCCGACTCGAAAGTGAGGAACATTCCGTATGATGACCGTGTCAAACTGCCGTGCGATTTCTAAATAATCCCCTGCACCCAATGGCTGCAAACAACAGATAAGCACATAAACACACATGAAAAATCAGGTAACAGTAATGATTAAACAGAGATGTTTAGCCATATTTAGTGAGCTCTTCTGCTTAAAGGAATAGTTCATCAAAAAACTAAAATTACATTTATTTACTCATCCTCATGAGCTTTTGCTTAATTTGATTTCTATTCATTGTAATTAAATGTTTAAAAAAAAAGACCACTACATTATTCAAAACTGAAGAATGAAAGTCATACAGATATGGAATGACATGAGGGTGAGTAAATTATGATTTTTAAAAAGAAATTAATGCATTAAATTGATCAGAAGTGACATTAAAGAGTATTACTTTGTTACAAATAAAAAAAAATGTGTTTCAAATAAATGATGTTCTTATGAACTTATACTATTCATCAGAAGATCCTGGGAAAAAAGTATCATGGTTTTTACAAAAATATTAAGCAGCACAGCTGTTTTCAACACTGACATGACAATGAAGACTGGAGTAATGGCTGCTGAAAATTCAGCTTTGCATTACAGGAATAAATTAAACTGTAAAATATATCAAATGGAAGTCATTTTAAATTTCAATAGATTTTCACAATTTTTACTGTATTTTCGATCAAATAAATACAGCCTTGATGAGCATATGAGACTTCTTTCAAAAACATTAAAAACATCTTACCAACCCCAAACTTTTGAACAGTGTATATTATGTTTGGAAATATAATATAAAACACCCATTCATCTGCTTGATCTTCAGGGGTCTCTCCACCATGAGCCTGGTCTTTCATTCCGACTCGAAAGTGAGGAACATTCCGTATGATGACCGTGTCAAACTGCCGTGCGATTTCTAAATAATCCCCTGCACCCAATGGCTGCAAACAACAGATAAGCACATAAACACACATGAAAAATCAGGTAACAGTAATGATTAAACAGAGATGTTTAGCCATATTTAGTGAGCTCTTCTGCTTAAAGGAATAGTTCATCAAAAAACTAAAATTACATTTATTTACTCATCCTCATGAGCTTTTGCTTAATTTGATTTCTATTCATTGTAATTAAATGTTTAAAAAAAAAGACCACTACATTATTCAAAACTGAAGAATGAAAGTCATACAGATATGGAATGACATGAGGGTGAGTAAATTATGATTTTTAAAAAGAAATTAATGCATTAAATTGATCAGAAGTGACATTAAAGAGTATTACTTTGTTACAAATAAAAAAAAATGTGTTTCAAATAAATGATGTTCTTATGAACTTATACTATTCATCAGAAGATCCTGGGAAAAAAGTATCATGGTTTTTACAAAAATATTAAGCAGCACAGCTGTTTTCAACACTGACATGACAATGAAGACTGGAGTAATGGCTGCTGAAAATTCAGCTTTGCATTACAGGAATAAATTAAACTGTAAAATATATCAAATGGAAGTTATTTTAAATTTCAATAGATTTTCACAATTTTTACTGTATTTTCGATCAAATAAATACAGCCTTGATGAGCATATGAGACTTCTTTCAAAAACATTAAAAACATCTTACCAACCCCAAACTTTTGAACAGTGTATATTATGTTTGGAAATATAATATAAAACACAACTAAGAATGTTTCTTGAGCACCAAATCAGCATATTACAATGATTTCTGAAGGATCATGTGACACTATAGACTGGACGTCTGCCGAAATACGTCTGCCGAAATCTTTGCAAAATCTCAGCTTTGCAATCACAGGAATAAATGGCATAAAATATAAAATAAAAAAAAAACAGTTTATAATATAATTTAAAATATATATTTTTAAAAGAAATATCTTTACTGTATTTTTGATCAAATAAATGCCGCTTTGGTGAGCATAAGAGACTTCTGTCAAAACTGTCTTAAAATCTTATTGAAACTTAAATTAAACTTAAAAATTAATGTAAACGTCAAGCAAAAAAAATAAAATAAATACACAGACGTACAAATAAATATACAAATATCATTTAAACCTATAATTAGCACCCCCCCATACTATGTAAGTCAATGGGGACCAGCAACTGAATGTGAACTATCCCTTTAAGCCTTTATGGTATTTCCAGGTCCAGTGGCAAAACATTTTTGACCTGAGGGGTCCTGGGTTCAGAACCTGCCTAAGTGTTAAAAACGGGGGCTTTTTATGACTTTATTGGAATGAGGCCCACATTGGAAGGTGGAAGTATAATGATTAAATGCAATGAGCTTACTCCATTTGTTCATTTATTTGTTTACTAAGAGTGATTACACTGACTAAATATAGGTGGAATGACAAGCACCAAGTATTTTAGTATTCCATTTTTGAAGGTGCCAGAATGCTGTTCCTTTCCAGTTTAACACTGCCCTCCTATATCCACATCTAAAACGTTTGGAAAAGACACCACAATACAAATCTCAAACCAGAATTTGATGTCATTTTCTACACACTCACTCGCTCACACAGCTCTTGGAAGGTGCAGTCTGCAATGGTTCCACAGGTTCTGCTCAGGGTTACTTCTCTTCCTTGCACGTTCAGCACCCTTGGCCTAGTTACTATCAATGGTGAGAGGCAGACATACAGTTACTGACTGCAATAGAAAGATCTAACACTTTAGCACTGAAACGATAAAGTCTTCACATAAAAACAGCTAACAATACAAGATTAAACCTCACACACTAAGTCAAGAAACATCCACTCTTAACCTTAAAACCCCCATCTATGCAAAGGCAAATTAGCTCGCTTACCATCATTTTGTCTGTATGCCAGTTCCTCAAACAGTGTATTGACAGCATTCTCTGCATCAGGCTCACTTGATCTATGGAAAGCGAGGTGAAAGAGAAAGATAATTGAATATGAAATTAACCAGGTTTGAAGTGGTCACATCAAACAGTGCGTGCTGAAGGCTTGTGTTTGAATTTTCACAGTGCCTCAATAGAACAGGATGTTGGATTCAAAACACAAACATTGAGAGAGTGTGAAAAAGAGGGAGCAGCAATCAGGTGTCAACAAACTCATGCATATTAACATCCTCTAAAAGAGCAGCTGTTGAGATAAAGGGTTTATAATAAGTCAGAAAAAGACGCTGAGTGTATATTTATATTAATGTGCACTCATGATATGGAATTCTTTCCCTTGCCATTTATTATCAGTTCGGTTTTCTCTTCTCAGTTGGTAGTTGAGATCAGAGGCAATTGAAACATTTACATTTTTTCCCCCTTTAGAACTCAGATTTATTACAACTGCCATCTTTTTATATGAGAAACATTTATGTGTGGTAAAATAACTGTTCCATTAGGTAAAGTAAGCAAAAAATATATTATGTATAATGTATCATTGTAATAAATACACTACCATTCAAAAGTTTAGGGTTAGTAAGAATTTTTTCATGTTTTTGAAAGAGACTTATGCTCACTAAGCCTGCATATATTTGATTTTTTAAAAATACAGTAAAAAGCTGAATTTTCAACAGCCATTACTACAGGTTCACACTCTAATGTGCTGATTTGGTGCTCAGGAAACATTTCTTATTATTATCAATGTTAAGAACAGTTGTGCTGCTTACATTTTAGTGGAAATCATGGTTCAGAACAGAATTGATTTGAAATAGAAATCTTTATATAAATTTATTTACCGTCACTTTTGATTGACTCTTTATTCAATGTGCCCTTGCTGAAAGTTTTAATTTCTTTAAACACTTTTGAAATGTAGCGTATATGTATAATTTGTCAGGAATAATACAAGTTATTTCTTATTATTATCAATATTAAAAACAGTTCTGCTGCTTAAAGCCATAAAGGTCTAAGTACTGGACATCCAACAAGCAAACAAATGAAGAAACAAATACTTCTAAAAATAAAAATGGCAATTGCCCCAAACTAATTTACAACGTTTTAATTATTAAATTATTAATTGAATTAAAAAAATTAATTATTAATTTAATTAAAATGAATTATTAATTGAATGTTGTTACATCACTCTTTCACAAAGAGAGAGAGTTGTCTTACATGTAGTATAGTTTTCCTGCTGCTTCCATTTCCCTTGTCCGGTAATCTATTCCAGTGTCAAGACTGACGGTATGACAGTGCTCCTGTACAGCAAAGGAGAAATGTGGTAAAAGAGAATAGTTACAAATAAGAAGAGAGAAAGTGACAGCGTTTCAAGAGCAAGTTTAAATGACAGTAGTTCTGTTTTGTACGGTGGCCGTAAAGTGCAAAGCAGATCACAATTCTGAAAACAAAATAACAAATTACAAACGCAAATGCAAGTCTAAAAAACAAAATAACAATTCAGAAAGCACAACAACAATTCAGAAAACATTATAACAAGTCAGAAAGCACAATGACAAATCCGAAAACAAATTAACAAGTCAGAAAACACAACGACAATTCAGACAAACCGGAAGAGGTAGGTATAGTTTGAGACAGTGCCATTGGTTTGGGATTACTCACCGCTGACTGGACGAGACATCTGTCAATCAACTTATACAGGGAAGAACCAGCTGAAGAACAGCAGAGTCGTGGTAGAAAGTTCGGAGATGGTATTAAAGTAGCTCAGTTTAAATGTATTGTATGAATTGCTCTTACTATGGAATTAAAAATACGGGGTGTCTATTTACATTTAGTTAAAAGTGGCTGTAAATCATCTGCTCCAGTGGTGCAGATGGATAAGCACTTGCCCATGGCTTTCTGACGTGATCGACCCGGGTTCGATCCCGCCTTTTGCCGAACTTTATTTTCCTCCCTTTTCAAATCTCGTATTAGCAATGGATTCTATTTACACTAAGTGAAAATAGCATCATTTTTTTTTAGCAATATGCTATTTACACTAAGTGCAAACACCTAGTTACACTATGTTAAAATAGCAGGATTTCTACTATCAAGTATACTACTTGTTGCAAATAGTGGCAATTATCTGCACTTCAGTATTGTAGTACATTATAAAACAGTATGCAATAATAACGTATTGAGTGTAAATTACAATTTTAATTATTACATGGATGCCACCTTTTTGGTACAATAAAGCCCTCCCTACACCCACCCTAACCCTACCCGATACTTTATTTTCAACTTTTTGTTTATTTCCTTAATTTTTATTGAAAATAAATGCCTTTATGATGTGATACGAGATTTGAAAAGTGAGAAAAAAAAGTTTGGCAAAAGGTGGGATCGAACCCGGGTCGATCGCGTCAAAATGCCAAAGACTAGCACTTATCCATCTGCGCCACTGGAGCTGAAGAGTCAGAACTACTTTTAACTAAATCTAAATAGACACTCCGTATTTTTTGATTGACAGCTGTCTTGTCCAGTCAGCGGTGAGTAATCCCAAACCAATGGCGCTGTCTCAAACTATACCTACCTTTTCCAAACTATACCTACCTTTTTGTCTGAATTGTCGTTGTGTTTTCTGACTTGTTAATTTGGTTTCGGATTTGTCGTTGTGCTTTCTGACTTATTTTGTTTTCGAATTTGTCGTTGTGTTTTCTGACTTGTTATAATGTTTTCTGAATTGTTGTTGTGCTTTCTGAACTGTTATTTTGTTTCGTAGACTTGCATTTGCGTTTGTAATTTGTTATTTTGCTTTCAGAATTGTGATTTGTTCTGCACCTCTCGGCCACCGTAGTTTTGCCATGTATTTTGTATTGCAATACACAGCTCACCCCTAGGGGGTGACAATGCCACATGTACTGTGGGTTAATAAAACATTTTAATTGCTATAACAAAATAATACTGTGATCCATATTAACCTGTTGTAAGCCATATAATTAAGAAATGCATTAAGTTTGGCCTTTTCTAATGATTTTAAACTACTGTTAGCATCCAGGTATTCATAGTATTATTTTACATGATCTAAACAATATCTATCTATCCATCCATCCATCTAAAACAGTAAAAGATTGAGGGATAAACTTGATCAGTTTTCACAATGCAAGTATAGAGAGTTTATAATGGGATCTTTGCACTGTTATTTTGTGATATGAAATTACTCTACTGCTAAAATAGCATCTTTGAAACAAAGTGATATGTAGTTAAGGGTCAAATAAAATATGCGTACTATGTCAACACTGTTAAACATGTTAGTGGCTCACTTTTATGGAGTGACTGTGTGGAACCACAGCATATCAAACCTCTGTGACGGGGAAGAAAAAACATAAAAAAGGAACAAAATGCTGGAGAAACGATGACAAAAATGACTGATGAAAAGGAAGGGTGATTATTTTTAACAGGATGTGGATAATATGTGGTATTTAGGCGAGAGGCCTTTGCCTGAATCAGTCCTCAATGACAGCTCCAGCGAATTATGAAATCAGTGAATTTTCCGCCACCCTCCTCCTTGAACTAAAGATAATTAGCAATCACCACACAGAGCGAGCGAGGAGCGATCTATTCCTCTTCTTCCTGTATCTCTCGCCTCTTCCCCCCATTCTCCAGTGCTGTCAACTTTTCTCTCTCAAGCGCAGAGTTCCACGTCCGAGCCAATTGGCTGAATCAGCCATAATGACAGGCTGACAAACCACGAGCAGAAGAACACAAAAGGAAAAGTGTCACTTCATCAACCCCGCTCGACCTTGTCACCAGGCCGCCATGTAAACAGCCGCCATGGCCACGACAACCTCGCTTCCCCAGCAGCCATCAAAACGGGTTATTCCTCTGCACACCCTATTCTGTCTATTTTTTTTTTTTTAACTTTCCATTTCTGCCTTTATATCTTAACGGTTGATGGGCCATCTCGCAGGAGAGTAATCGTGAGGAGGGAGAGGGGGAGAGAAATACAATCAGTAATGATTCCAGCGCATGGTTCTTCATAATCAGTTGAAGACACGTCCTCTTGTGGATCATTGCATGATTATGGCCTTTGATGGGTTCATTAATAAGGACTCATAACTCCTCAAAGATCTTCATCGTCGGCCCTTCTCAACTCAGAATGCACTTTGCCACGCAAATCTGATGCATGTCCTTCAACAAGACCCGCCAGACACCTCAAAATGTGCAGGATCTTCTAACTGACTGACCTTTTAATAAATAACTAAAACCTGTATCTATGGAATTAAAATGGCAACTAGAATTATATAATTTTAGATTTAGCACTAGCACTTGCTGTTAGTAAGATTAATGGCTGTTGTTTAGTGGACAATTTCAGCCATGTTGACAACTTTTTTTTAACAGACTTAGCCCCTGAATTAGACCACCCCTACTTCAACAACACATCCTCTCTTTAAAATTTGCCCATGACAAGCCAACCCAATGTTAGCAAAAGTTGTAAAATAATTATACATCCCTCTGCAAACAGCAAAAAATAAATAAATAAATAAAGTCAGTGGGTGAGCAGCCCACTATTTATTTATTTATTTATTTGTCTGTCTGTCTGTTTACAGAGGCAGGTATAATTTCTGAAGACACCATTTTTAATGATGTGTCAGGTCACATGGACATATATGCATGGAAAAAATATATGCAAAATAAATAAAATAAAAATATATAAATAAAAAGTGGAAGAAGAATTTTATGTCTGCATTACCTGGCAGACATTATAAAAAAATAAAAGAATAAATAAACAAATAATATAAACTTACTTCTTTTTCCTTCTTTATCATTACCATCAATAATAATAATAATTTTAGTTTTTATTCATTATAAGTTAATTAAAAATAAAATAAATATTTTATTTCTTAATAATAATAGTAATTTTTATTTTATTTTTTGTAATGCCCCCCCGCATGTCATTACCAGATATTCCAAAAAATTAATCGAATAAATAAAAATCAAATTGATTATTTAGTTATCAATTTTATAGTGAAAGTTTATTTTAAAGAGTTCTTATCGTTGCATGTGCTGTATGCCCACAGCTTCCCTGCACAACCATTTAGAATGAAAATTAAGTCTGTCTCTCTTTCTGTCTGTTTTGCTCTCTCCCTATCTCTTCTCCACTCCTCAAAAAAGTTGCCTTTGAGTTTTTCAAAGCAAGGGTTGCCATTGAGCTCCAACAAAAGCCAAGGATAGCTGGCGATTGGACCCTGATGAGGTCCACTACCTCATTACTGACAGCCGAAAACATTTGATGCTTTTTTCCCTCCTGTTTGGGAAGAAGAGGGGCGGATTGACAGAGCCTGGCTTAAAGAGCGCGCGGTGGGAGAACTGAAAAAGAGAGGTGGCAGAGGGGGACGGGGGGAAAGGTTGTAGTCCATTCATCTTTGTGTGTCTTACAGCCTCTGTGGGTAGCAAAAAAAGAAAAGGGGGGGTAGAAGCAGGGGCGGGGTAAAAAGAGAACGAGAGACAGCTTAAAACACTGCCTTTATGCTTTTGAGTCCAGGACGACTCCTCTTACATCAAAGTGTTTTTACCACTGCGGTGTGTGATTTTGTCTCTCTCTCTCTCTGTGTGTGTGCGTGTCTTGAGTGAATGTATTGAGGGATTAGGTGACTAGTGAGTGTGTGCGTGAGGGAGAGAGAGAGGGAGAGAGAGAGAGAGAGCTATGGGGGTGGTTAACGACGTGAACGCACTAATTATGCCTAATTATCTATTCCCTTTACATGTAACCGGCTTTGTTAGTTACTCAGAACACTCTCAAAACATACTCAAAATGTTCTCACAACCTCTCCTTGCCCTGTCCAGGACTCTTAAAGAAACATCACCCTTGGAACATCTGTCTCGCTTTGAAAGCACAGACCCCCCAGACCTCCGCAGAGCCCACGGGCCATGGCCCTCATCCTCTCCATCACAATCACTCGCTCCTCAGTCTTTGCTAATCTGTGTCTGCTAAAAACATGACTGACCAACTTTAGTGGTGACTTGGCAAAACAACATCTTTTGAGTGACTTAACGAACGTCAAGGCACCTCAAATGTTGGTTTTACGGCTTATTCACACCAAAGCCAGAAGTTGACAAAACATGACTAACACAATTTTAAGTCCAAAATATTGTAGTTATGGTCAATGTTTTGCTTAATTTAATAAACACTGCCATTCAGGTTTTATTGTTTTCAGAGAACTCGGCAGTATAGTTTGGTAAAAAATAAAAACTTGGGACTATGTGTAAACAGGCTTTTAGACATCAGATCAAAAAATAACAGCAGCAAGAAAAGAAAAAGCGA